TCATATGCCTCTGTTTCCCATATACCATGTTTGCCACTGTGGACCCCAAACTGAGAGTCATTGGACTGCGGGTATCTAAGGCACGCACTGCCCTCTAGGGTTGCGTATATTATGTTGTGCAAGCTATGTGCAAGCTATGTGCAAGCTATGCGGTGCCAAATGTACGGTGCGAGCTATGTGGTGGAAGTCATGAGGAGATAACGATGTGGTGCGAGCTGTGAAAGGTAAGCTACAAGGCGCAATACATGCGATACAATACATGTGGTACAACATACGCGGTGCAATATGTGGTGCAAGCTGTGTGTAAGTTGTGTTACCGAAGCTATGTAGAGTGTGATGTGTTGTAAGCTGCGTGGAAAAAATAGAGAAGCAATTAAAAAAACGGGGGGCATAATAAAATATGCTTGTTTAATTGAAAATAAAAACAAACAAAAACACAAGGAACAAAACAAACGAAAAAAATAAACAATAAAGAAACAACAAACAAAACTAAAAAAACTGTAATGCGAGATGTGTGTAAGTTATGTTGTCGAAGCTAAGTAGCGTATGATGGAATGTAAGCTGCGTGGTCAACACAGATGTGGTACAGGCTATATGTTGCAACCTCTGTGGTGCACGCTGTGGTGCAGGCTATATATATATATATATATATATATATATCCATGATGCAATCTACCAGCTGCAGGCTGTATGGCACGAGCCGTGCAGCGCAGGCGACGCCGCCGCCCACGGCACGCCCACGGGCGGCCGCGGCCGGGCACCAGGCGCAGCGCCGGCACACGCGGGGCGCCCACGGGGCAGCCACGGGGCGCCCACGGCCGGACACGGCGAGGAAGGGGCCCACGGGGCGCCCAGGGTTGGAGGCCTGGAACTTGGCACCAACACGTTTCGCGGCCCCATAGGGAGCCCCTCCTAAGGTCCCAGTGGCGCAGTTCCCAGGGCGCCGCCGCCCCATTTTGGCACACCCCTCACACGTTTCGTGGTCCCATAGGGAGCTCCACAGAAGGTCCCAGTGGCGCAGTTCGCTAGCGCCGCCGCCCCATTTTGGGACCCAGCACAGGGGGTTGCCTCCACAGGGGGAAGACGATCCTAGATTTCGGTGTTGGTGGTAATATTTCGGCCACCCTGGAAGCCAGAATATTGCCACCATCACCGAGATCGGGATCTTCTTCCCTCGGTGGAGGCACACCGCCGATGTTGGTGTTGGTGTCAACCTCTAGGCCTGCGACACGGGCAACCACGGGCCGGCACCGCGTGAGACCTCGGTGCATCCACCCAGCGGACGAGGCGCCCACCGGGCGCCCGCAGGGCGGCCACGGGCGGCCACCAGCCAGGCACCAAGGGAAAACCCAGCTTTTTTGATCCGCGGGTCGAGAGCGAGCCTCTTCCGGTCGAAGCTAAGCGGGCCGCGCACAGCTTTAATTGACAGAGGGAGGAAGGCAGAAGGAGGGGCCACACGACAAGGAGGGAAAACCCAACACAACCTCCAAAATTACCTACAGCCGCGACTAAGAAAGGTGCAGAGACTGTTCGAGGAGAACCTTCCTCGATCCCATCCTCCTCATCATCGCAACCCTCGTCAACGACATCATCACCAACAGAAGCACCACCATCTTCAAAAGTTCATGCACTCGCCCATCATCACTCATTCATTCACGCACTGATCATGGTCCTCCCGCACTCCCTGACTTCAATACGATGTGTGCTACCCTTGGCCTCATTCCTGACCAGGCCCTGTTTGGCCTGGGGCACTTCTGCTGGGTAGTAATACCATGCGGGGCACATTCGGGCGATTCCATTGCCACAGAATTCCCAGGCATTGTTCCTTAAGGCACTGCGTGAGGTGCACATGCGCGAATACTGCAACAAAAAAAAGCACACAAAAAATGTTCCACACATCTACATCCAATACCACCACACGGGCCGCGCGCACGTGACGACATCCTTGAATTCATGCCGTGCGTAAGTATATCACGTGAGCTCGATGACAAAAAAAAATCATAAATAGGCGTGCTGGCGTTTCTGCCGCGGGAGCCGCTCGCAGAACAAGAAGTGCTCTAGCTGTCCCACCCAAGACAATCTGTTCTGTGTGCACGACGGACTGGCAATAACGTGTTGCTCGGTATATCGCTGCGCCTCGGCGCACTCGCACCCCTCTTGTCTGTTACGAGCAGCGCGCACTGAACGAATTCATAGATCGCAAGCCCACCGCTTACCCCATTCACCATGCAGACTGGAATCAGCACGGATTCAGAGTGCCTCACGCAGCAGAGCCGCACGCGCGCAGGCCCTGCAAAATTGATTCCAAAGTGTAGCTCTAGTGCCCCGCCCGACCCGACCCGTCCGCCCGTCCCGCCCGTCAGGATCCGCCCGCCCGACCCGAAATGCCCACCCGAAAAAAGGACACGTGCGATAGGACTCCATCCGTCAGTGCTCCTGCGAAAGATTAGCTGCCAAGATCCCATCGCTCTCTTCAGCGCCAGACTCAGTATGAAGGAGG